CGGGGGGTGGCGGGTTGGGGGCCTGCCCTTACAGTGGGGGGGCTTGGCTCCCACAGACAAACCTCAAGCAGCTGGGGCGAGGCCTCCCCCAGCCTGAGGTTCACCTACCACCCACATGGGGGGGCCATGGCCCCCTGAATCCTGCCATCCCTGCCTGGTTCCCACAGGAAAACTCCTGGATTCCTGTGTGTCATAAATGCGTCTGGGACCGGGAGTGGGGGCCTGCCCTTACAGTGGGGGGGCTTGGCTCCCACAGACAAACCTCAAGCAGCTGGGGCGAGGCCTCCCCCAGCCTGAGGTTCACCTACCACCCACATGGGGGGGCCATGGCCCCCTGAATCCTGCCATCCCTGCCTGGTTCCCACAGGAAAACTCCTGGATTCCTGTGTGTCATAAATGCGTCTGGGACCGGGAGGAGAGGAGAGGAGAGGAGAGGCAGCCAGCTGGCAGCGTCTGGCGCTCGCAGCGTCTGACACGTCCCCGAGTGATGGGGGACATATGCTGGCTGAGCGGCAGACGTGGGGGCGGGGAAGAGAAAGCGCCTGGCTGATGATTGGATGCTGCTCTGCTATCTGGGAGTATTGCGGGGGAAGAGAGCACCCCCCCACATACACAGCCATGAATTGTCGAACATGCTGAGCACCCATCGCTGGGTCCAGGTTGCCTGAGAAGCCTGGCTGGGCGGCTGTGAAAATCTGCCCAGTTATGTGGGTCTAAGAGGGAGCTGGGCCCATGGAAAACTGGCCCTGGCCCCTTTGGGAAACTCAGCATAGCGTGGGGAAAAGGGCAGCTTCATTCGCACCTGTCCGTGCTCTGTCTGTCACGCCTCTGTCTGTCTGTGTCACAGCTCTGTCTGTCGGTCTGTCACGCCTCTGTCTGTCTGTCACGGCTCTGTCACAGCTGTCTGTCTGTCTGTCACAGCTCTGTCTGCCTCAGCTCTGTCGGTCTGTCACGCCTTTGTCTGTCACGGCTCTGTCTGATGGTCTGTCACAGCTCTGTCAGTCTGTCTGTCACAGCTCTGTCACAGCTGTCTGTCAGTCTGTCACGGCTCTGTCACAGCTGTCTGTCTGTCTGTCACAGCTCTGTCTGTCACGCCTCTGTCTATCACGTCTCTGTCTATGACAGCTCTGTCTTGTGGTCTGTCACACCTCTGTCTGTCTGTCACAGCTCTGTCTGTCACGCCTCTGTCTATCACGCCTCTGTCTATCATGTCTCTGTCTATGACAGCTCTGTCTGTTGGTCTGTCACACCTCTGTCTGTCTGTCACAGCTCTGTCTGTCTGTCTGTCACACCTCTGTCGGTCTGTCACGGCTCTGTCTGTCTGTCATGGCTCTGTCTGTCACGGCTCTGCCTGTCAGTCTGTCTGTCACGGCTCTGTCTGTCTGTCACGGCTCTGCCTGTCTGTCACGGCGTTTGCACACCAGTCCTTCCCACAGGCCCTGCAGCAAAAACAACCATCCAATTTTACAGATAAAGGCTGTTCCAAAGGGGCGGGGGAAGGGGGCAGACAGGGGCACGCCCCCGTCATATCCCTCCCCCCACAACTCCTGCAGCCCTGGACCGGGGCGGGAGATGACAGTCTCTCGGGCCCCGGGGCCACAGACGGAGAGGGGGAACCAGCTCCTCTGACCGAGGCAGGGGGTGGCGACATTTTTTCCTAAGTGTCCAGAGCTGGGACTGGAACCCAGCGCTGTCAGTTCCAGGGCCATGCGCCCCTCCCAGACGGGGCTGTCTAAAGAGGCAGGAGGCGAAGGGACACGAGATGAGGAGGCCTCTGAGGTACGACAGAGAAGTCTGTCTCAGGTGACCGGCTGCTGGGTCTGTCCCACATGCTCTGGGAGTCACTGGCCACCCAGCCTGGGGTCAGGAAGGAATTCCCTCCCTGGGCCAGAGGGGCAGAGATCCTGGGGGTCTTCCCCTCCCTCTGCAGCATGGGGCTCAGGTCCCTTGCCGATTTAAATGGCGGGTTCTGTGTCACTTGACATCTTTGAGTCGCGTCAGTCACTCCGCCGGAGGGTGGGGGTCCGTCCCAGGCGAGGGAGGTGGCTCCATCCAGGCCGGGCCATCTGGCTCTGCCCACAGCTGGTCCTGGGGAGGGGGGTCTTTCCGCTCCGTGACTTGGTCCTGCTCAGAAAGGGGCGGCTGCAGCTTAGAAAATGCCCCGGGGCGAATCACAGCCTCCGGATGTATTTACCCTCCCAGCCCCTCGGGGGCGGGGGCAGGGCTTTTATCCCCGTGGTACAGAGGGGAAACTGAGGCACGGCGACTTGGGCCACGTCACAAACTGGGGGTCCAGCAGGGACCTGAACACAGCTCTCTGAAATCCTTGAACCACAGGGATGCCCTTGCTCTCAGCTCCCTGCCCTGCCCTGCCTCCCTTACCCCATCCAGAGGAGCGAAGGGGCGCTGATTCCTGGGTGCCCAGCCAGCCTACAGACCCTGGAGACAGGCGCCTGCGCAGGGGAGGGGGGGCTGTTATGTAAGGGGTGGGGAGCGGAGAGAATTGCTCCGTGCTGCCACCCGGCGGAGGCTGTGGCACTAGCAGCCCCTTGGCTCAGGCTACTAGTTGCTTCCCTGCCTCTGTTTCCCCTCCCAGAGCCCGACCTGGAAGACTGCAGTTTTGGCTGCCGAGGGACCTCCCCGCAGGAAAGTCTGTCCTCCATGTGAGTGCCTTTCAGCCGTCCTCCCTCGACACGGGGGGGGCTCCCAGGTGGAGGAGAAACTGAGGAACGCAATGTGCGGAACGGGGAGGGAGGCAGCCCTGTCTCGGTGTGGCGTGGGGAGAGGGCAGGCTAGGAAGGGGTAGAGCAGAGCCTTTCCAGGTGTGGGGCAGAGACCGTGTGGGGCTGGTCTGAGGCAGGCAAAGACAGCAGCTTCCAGTGCTGGGCAGAGGTGAGGGGCTCGGGGAAGGGGGTGCAGATACAGGCTTTCCCGCTGTGGGGCAGAGGGGCTCAGGTGAGGGGGGAGGTGGAGGCAGATACAGGCTTTCCCACTATGAGGCAGAGGGGTTCAGGTATGGGGTGAGGGATGCAGATACAGGCTTTCCCACTGTGGGGCAGAGGGGCTCAGGTGAGGGGGGAGGTGGATGCAGATACAGGTTTTCCCGCTGTGGGGCAGAGGGGCTCC